CCACGGCCGCCTTGTGCTGCTCGACTGTGCCACCAGACTCCAACACTCGCATCTTATTCCTGTTTGCAATTGGACACCCAGATGCACTGCAATAAGAAAATGAAGATGTATAATATAGGAAACGTATACATATTACGAATGAATAAAGACTTATTGATTTCAAGAACTATAATCGCAAACATCATTAAAATAGATTGTATATTATCAACTGAATCTAGCTTCCTTTAATAAATAAACAGTAATGTAACCACAGCAGATTAAAACAATATTTTATACTTAAGTTACATTAATTTATTAAAGCAATTTATTATCAAATTATAGAAATCGCAACGGAAATCGAAAATATCAATAATCTTTTTGATAGATTACAAGTATTTGGAACTTCAACAGTTAATTTTGCGATCTGTATAGAAGCTAATGTTCCTACAAGCATTTAATCATCGCAATTTGACACATAAAATAATTACAGGGGACAAACCTATAGTACAACCTGACAGAGAATGATTCTTTATACAAAAACAAATTAAAAATACCCAATAAACTGTTTTATCCGAGGCTTTGTTTCCGAGAAAATCAAGTTTAAAAATCATATTAACCCTTGAATACCACACTATTTTCGCCACCTGATTTCACCACACATGGGTTACGGTAATCCTGGAGTCTTCTTTTACTTTTATCCCGGGATCTAATGCAAAGAAAGTTTTTTCCCCCCATTGCTCCCACTCCACACTTCTGACCGTTCATAAACCCCGCGCGTTTTTTCAAACGGAATGGGTTACCGTAACAGTGAGGTGTTCAAGGTTTAAGTACTCTTTAAATTTTTAGAGTGAATTGTCACCCTAAAGAGTGAAATCTTATTCTTAAAGATTGAAAATTGATTAAAACTTTTTTTCCAGATTGGCTCAATTTTCACTTTTTAGAGATTGCAAAGAATTTAAAGAGTACACATGCACTTAATGAAGATATGGTTTGTGAGACACTATAAACATTATCATGTTCACATAACTTCTACACGACTTTAGGAAGCAGAATTAAAAACATGTACCAAATAATCAAATTTTATTAATTTTATTAAGAAAAAAATTGCTGGAAATGTTCCGGCTGCCATAAACAAAATTGTGTTTGTTAAATTATGGATTTATAAATTCTGATTAATATCTCTCTACTAGGGACCAATTCTCGGTTGCACGAAAAGAGTACATTGATTGACAAAAACAGTATATATCTTCTAAAAAAAAGAAAAAAAAATGAAGATCAAGGGGTTTTCTGTTTTAAATACCGGTGTTCAATAAAATGACATTTCTAGAATATAATTTTTATTGACAATCTTTATTCAGTCTTCATAAAATTATATATAAATATCCCAGCAAATACTAAATATTCCGAAAATATTCATAAAATGTTCCTAAAATCTCAAAAAAACTTTCTAAGAATATTCCAAAATATTTCGAATATTTACAAAATATAAAAGACATTCGAATGTCGGTTGAAAATTTCATTTGTACATCGTTACATATTCCGAGAATGTTCCATATATATTCCGTAAAATTTTAATTTTTCCAAAAATTCCATGTCAGATCGTCCGTGAATCAGTTTTTAAACAAAATTTTACTTTAAAAAATGGAGCCAACCTTGAAGCCCAATCTTTGGGCTCACTTCATAGACGAAGTGCTGCGCTCCTTATACTCTCTCCCAGGTGATTCTTGTTTATGAGTAAATGCTCTCCGCTGCGGCCCTCTGTCGGCGGAGATGTGCACTGCTCGCTCGCTCGCGATTTTCGTGAAATATACAAGGAGTATTCATACAATATTCTGAAGCCTATTCTACAATGTGTTCTTTGTTTCATGTTTTTTGTTTTTTACCTATTGCTTTTTCCCTCCTTTGCAACTGTTTTATCGACAATTGCATTTCTTGCTACGTGTTTCTTGTTTCTTCCAAAGTTTGTTAACTTTTATCTCGGGCGACATAAAACAAAAAACCGGATAAGAAGCAAAAAGACAAGATGTAAAAAATAGCAAAAAGCAAAAAACAGAAAACAAAAAGCACATTGTAAAATAGGTTTGAACATTTCATCGACATTTGCACATTCTGTGACAATTCTTTTACTGTTCCGGAACATTCGGTACATTGGTAATACGAATCGAACTTTCTGTGAATATTTAACGTTATATTTAACTGGAATATTTATAAATATATTGACATTTTACTCAATGATCAGATTTTGTAACGTTAACATCAATACAATTGAGAAAATAAAATTGATTAATTTAACGTATCTTGCAACTGATAAGTTTCAACCAATATATGTATATAACAAAATTTTTAACAAAACTTCTATATGATAAACCATACATATATTACATACTGCCAAAAGCAAATATAGCCTTAATTACCAGCCAAGCAGAACTTTTTCTTAAAATAATAAATTTAAATATTTTAAATAATAATTTTTTAAATTTTGTCCCACTTTACAAAAAAAAAGTACAATAAATGAAAAATAAGAATACGTTGTTTTCAACTTCGAAAAGAGTACATATGTACTATTAGAAGAGTAGGATTAGTAACCCTATGAGTTTTCTTACTTCTTCAAAAGCTGCAATAATTTTTTGTGCTAATATCTGAAGATTTTCTGAAAATTAAACTTGATTTCTTCGAAAAGTAAGCCTCGGACGAAAAAAGTTCATTCTGCACTTTTGATTTATTTTTATGCAAGGAGTTATCCCTCGATTATATTATAGGTTTGTCCACCCACTGTATATACGGAAAAAAAAAACAGAAAACAGCATACGATTATCCTAAAGCAAGATCCATGTAGCCTGGAAGTTTCTTATACGAGCCTTACCTGCGGTGCGACAAGAATTTGCCGGTGGCATGGCCGGACCCGTCGCAACCCGGGATTGGACATCTGTAGTCCAAAATGCCAACGCCACCGTCACCAACACCACATAATCCATCCGCACAGAGCGAGCGTGAAACGAGCGGAAACCGCCAGTTATTAGTCAGCGTCTTCGCTTTTGCGCGGGGTGTAACTCGGGCAAAGGGAGTTAGGATGCGGTTACGGGGAAAGGGGACGGGATTTCCCCTTTCTCGGGTCTCATCCGGCAGCCTTGCGGTACGTGCAATGCGGTCGAGAAGATACCTGCGTTAGCTGCTACGTGCAACGTGCGAACGCGACGAAAACGCAAATTGAGATCGCGATTACCGCCGCACCCTCAAATTGCGGAACTTGCGAGATGTAATCGCGTCGTGAAACCAAATCCTACAAACTCGCGATAGCCCTCCCGCTCTTTTCGGACCTTCTTTGCGTTGTATTAACTTAAATCTATTACTTTTCAATACTGAATGCAAACTGAATAATTAAAAAAAAATTTTTTGTCACATCAAAATAGTTTGTCATTAAGTTTCATTTTGTCAAATAAAATGAGCACGCTGCATTTGCAGCATAATTATATTTAAATGTCGCTACAAACAATAATATGTATGTTACGTTTAACATTGAACACATTAAATATATCTTGCGTAATTAATCTTTCGAAAAATTTAGTCGATAATATAATTCTTTCGTTAGTACGGCCAGAGATTGGTATTGCTCATTAAAAGTAAGTTATTATATATAGTTGAGGATATTCTTTACAATTAAGCCTTCAAAGGACAGAAAAGCTATAGCACTGAAACAGTGTTATTTTGAGGCAAAGACAAATTAAATAATGAGTTATAACAAATGTTACTTTTAAGATTTAAAAAAATAGACTGCCACCCCCTCTAAAATTTAATGCCCTTGAGTAAAGACCGAGACCAGTGCTAATCACGTGTTAATCGCGTGTACAGAAAGTGCAGTCAGAATATAGAGCGCATAACTAATAGTATTTGCGCCAACTGACCTCAGGGGCTCAGAATCTTGACCATCTCGAGGTTTACTCTTTGGCTTGTTGGCCCGTGGACAACCGGATAAACTTCTGTGTGACGAGTAATTTCCCGTGACATGTCCAGAACCGTCGCATCCTGGCGTAGGACACTTGAGCTCCTGGGAATGCGCCTGGATTTGCGAGCGATCAGCCCGTGGGCACCCGGAAAGGCTGCAAAGGAAAGAAGACTCTCTTCTATTTCAACGCGTTGCGAAAACGCTATGAAGACCGCGCGCTGCGTATTCTGGGAAGACACAAGAAATGTGAAAAACTTTGAAAAATTTATCATCATGCTACGTACGATGCCTGATAAAATTGCGCAACGCGGTAATCTTCATGGCTTTCGTCACACGAACGCACACCTCAGAAACGTCCAACCATCGCTTCAGCAACACATCGCATGCAATTTACGCGACGTTGCCACGATGTCGTGAGTACTCACATGGTCTAAAGCTGTTCTATTTAAAGGACAATCGACATCACAAAAATTAGATCTCGATGAGTATCCGAACATCTCGTTCGCTGAAACGATCGAAATCATCTACGTATCGCTCGACGGGTGACACAACACGTCACCGAAGTTAAAATATTATTATTTATTAATGAATCGCCGCTAAGATCTAAACGTATTATGTATTCATCGAAGAGCAAGAGACGTTGGCTCACCGAGATCAGTGCGCATCGGCACCGGCTTCATTACGATTTAGTTTCGGACGACTTGCCTTGCGTCCAGTTCGAACGAAGACATTGAGGGAAAGGGAGACCTAAGACTCGCATCTCTTGCTCGAGCACCGATCGTGCACGCCAACGATCGCGTAGCCCGAGTCTTACGCTCCAGGGACACCCTCAAATGTCGTGCGGATTATGATCGATGCGGACGGACAACGGATCGTATTTGGTAGCATGCAAATGGCAACGCCGTGTTCCAGTTGGATCACTTATGAGGTGTCGCTCGTAAGATCAATCGCGCTTCGTAGTCGCGTTGATCCGTCATCGGTCTTACTCTAAGAACATCGAAAGGGAGAGCAGGGAGCACACTCACACCTGACCCCAATGAAACTCGCCAATTGCCAATTTGACTTTGCACACGAGGTGCATCGCGAAGCGATATCATCACCGCTTCGTGGGTTTTCTTGATCGTTACGGTTCTGCTATGACATGGTCATCGACAACAGTTCGCTACAAAGCTGCCCACTCGAGGCTGGCGAAAGCGGCTTTCAACGGACGGGTAGTCAGTAAATTAATTACTACGTATGCGTACGAAAACGAATGAGTCTCGCGATCGAAAGCGAGTCCTGTGCAATGCCGATTCTTCCGCAATGCCAAACTTTGATTTTGCCATCCCTTTTCGTAGGGGTCGGGTAAAAACAGCGAGGAAAAAAAAGAAAAAAATTCATTCAATTACGAGGCTCATCTACACACCTTTGGTATCGCATAATATGACGTAGAGTATGAAACAAAAAAAAAAAGGAAAGAGGAGAAGAGAGAAAGAGCGAGTAAACTGTATAACAAAAATGAAAACTATATATTGTGTATATATATATATGTATACTTATGCAAGGTAGCTATAGTACCACTGGATATTCACACGTACGTCATATATAGATATATATGGCAACATAATATTGACCAAGTGTACAACTCAACCGCTCAACTAAAAAAATAAGGTTTCTAGACGTATGTTTCGTATCGCAACACACTTAAGAAGCAACTACACCAATATGCATTGATGCAAGAACCATCCATGTAAATGTAATTCGCAATTTACATAATGTCATTTGTTATATATGTGTGTGTAAGTGTGTGTGTGTGTGTGTGTGTGTGTGTGTGTGTTTCAGGATATACTGCCATCTACCATTTTGGAATGAAAATATCTATTGAGGCTTTATTGAGGGACCAAAGAGGAGAAATTTAAATGTATGTATGTAGCGTGCTTGCGTGCGTGCTGCATCGCCATATCGATATATACATAATCGAGCGTTCACGTCAAAGGCTTGGTAAATGTCGATGCTGCCTTGCCTTCTGTGGGTAGCGTAGTTCCCTGAGACATGACCCATGCCATCACAGGACGACGTGGGGCACTGTATCAGCTCCTTGCCATCGCGACCACGAGGGGTGGGCCGAGGTGCGAAATTCAACGAGTATCTCCTCACATTCATACTGCACCGAATAATATTAACCGTCAAATCGAGAGTCCCTAGTTTAATTATGGAATTATCACTACCTATACAGCTCTCCAAGCGACGTCCTATAGACATCTAAAAAAACGTCCTAAAAACGTTTTCAGAACGTCCTTCGGATAAAGTGTGCTGTGTGGATAACTCTTTAATTGTCGCTATTCGAGTGTAGGAGCTAAAACGATATTTCCACCTAAATTATTTGCTTCTTTTTGTAATACTGCTCATTTAGGCTGCAGTTCTATTCACGCAAATAATTATCATTTGGTTTCGTTGGGTAAACAGCATTATTTGATCTTGTTTAACGTTTAATAAATAATATAGATGAAACAATTCCCAAAAGCATTGTGAGCATGAATTGAACCGAGCCTTAAGGGTACAGCGACTAAAATTGTAGGTGGCTTTTATTTACAAAAAGCACTTGAGCAGACTGTCTGACGTAATTTAATGCACTCTACACCCACATAAGCGACAATCGTAAATCGCCTTCCCAGACGCAAATGCGAGTGTATATAGTTTACAGTTATAGGGCCTCGCAAAGTTATATTGCGTTTTGTAACTTTTCTGTGAAGCGCGAGTGGAAGAGCAATGTGCGACGTGATAGCGTGATATGAAAAAAAGTCGAAAAGCGGGAAAAAGGGCCGAGAGGAGACGAAGGAGAAGGCAGAGAAGCGGACCAAAAGAACATATGCGCCGGCCACAGCAAATCAGAGGGTGAACGTCTCGCTCTTGCTTTCGATCTCATCGTAGCCTAGCTATCGTAGTAGATAGGCAAGCCGTTGTCGGCAATGAGAAAGCCTCGATGGCCCTTGAGTGGCCGCGATATTGCCGAGCAACCGAGAGCCGACGGATGCCGACTTAAGTGCAATTCAAGCACGCCATCGGACTATCTATTAATCTACCTTCGTGGTTTTACAGTTTCTGCTGGTCCACTATTCTGTCTTAAATGTTGTTATATATATATTAATTTTTTAACGAAATACTTCATGTATGTATATTTATGTTGCTTTTACGTAGTTTTATGAATGCCCAATGTTATGGCGTATGATTATTGATAAGCAAATATAAAAATGATTATGTAACAATAAAATGAATCGTTCGAAAAATTTAATCATATTTAATTTTTGGTAAACAGATTTTGGGAACTTTCAAACTTAACAAGAATTAAAAAAAACTTTATCCCAGAAAAAATTAAGATTTATTTATTCTTATATCGAGATATTAAATATTTGATATTTTCACAAATTAAGATGGTTGATCCGAAATGGGACGTACACTAATAAAAACGGTTCCAAGAGACGAGACTAATAATATAGTTAGGAAGCGAAGGTAGTTATATTGCCTGCCGCTATTAATAAAGTTGAAGTTCTGATATAGATTGGTTTGACCGAGGTTTTAGTTGGTCGTACATGTTCAACGTTATAGCGATTCAATAAAGATACAATTAATGAGAAGGAGGAGAAACGTGGAAAGATTAATATCGTGAGGAAATCACTGAACATAATCATTTCATAAACTTCTCAAATTAAATTTGTGCAATAAAAAGATATAATTTACTAAATGTGCTCACTATTATTAAAACGTTCAATAAACATTACAAGTATATAATAAGGTAGAATAAGACTATAATTTTAAAAATAAGATTATTAAATGTTTTTAATTTCTAAAATAAAAATTAAAAAAATATGAAATACAATACCGGCAATTAAAAATTAATCATTTAGTTTCCCTCTTTTTGAAATACAAACTATTTCAAACTTCGTTATTTACAGTTTTACGTTGAGTAAAGATTTGCCGATATAATATTTATCTTTATGCAATATTGTACACAGTACATTCACGATTATATTTTCACGCAAATGTAAATATCGTATATTGCCAATATTGTCATCTCAAACTTCCGATAAAATATCGATTCGGTTTTCACATTTTCGTTCATCGTGGAGACATTCGTGAGATTCGTGGAACGCGACGCACCGAATTTTGGACCGTGGTAAAATTACAAAAGGGACGAAAGGCAACTTCGCCTCGAGGTAGCCGAGGAGGTGTGCTCTGGGTTTCTAACCCACGCCACACCACGGCAGGGAGGACGACGCCGGGTCTCGGCCCATAATCCAGTGCGGTGGCAACTGATTATACCCCACCTACCCATTTTAACCTTATCCTACCTCGCCTCCGCACCCCTCTCAACCCCAGCACCCCTTTACCCCTGCACGCGCGCCTTCCACTCGAGCCTCATCCTCATTCTCTTCTTATACGCCCAACCGTGCCTTCTCCATACCGCCGAGCTTCACGTCAATTAGAATAAGGTTGGCACTTTCGGTACGAAGAGTAATTACTTTAATTAAC